GCTTTCATGCGTGTGCTTGCCTTTATTTTCCGCAATTTATCTTTACCGCAATTTATTTTATCACATTGCATAAGCGTCCAAAGGAAGAACTTGCGCATAACTTAAGCAATTGTGCGTATGCATCTCATTTGCATCATATTCTCCTTTGATCCTTGATCCCATTCAAGTTGATCTTCTAAGTTAGATCTTACCCCATAAGGAGGATCTTTATCTTTACAACTTAGAATAAACAATTCAACTCAATTCAAGCTATTCAAACACATTAGATAATAAGATGTGAATCATCTTAAGCAAGATAAAACTTCTACCCCATAACAATACAATCAATTTTCCTACAAAGTTGTGGTGGTTAAATCAAGTAATCTTTCATAAAATGACAACTCATCTTTTCTCCTAAAATCAATCAATCAACTACCCTAATCCCGTAGGAACTTTGACCACAGTCAAAGAACTCCTCAAACCCTTTAGGGGAACTACAGATACTCTGATTCCACTCCTGTAAGGATATGTAGGCATAAGATGCGATATCTTATCGAGTATACTTAGAAATAAACCCCTGGGTCTTCCATCCTTAAGCAGATAAACCTTAACAATAAACAACATAAAAACAAGAGATTCTTGTAGAGTACTACAGAAACTTAGGATGCTAGCACCTTCCCTAAGTTTAACCAACCCCCGAACCTATAACTCTCTAGCTTGCATTTGTATTGCATTGTGGGTATTTCGATTTTTATCCCTTCCTTTGGACAAATCAAAGTTCGGTTGCAAATGAATAAGATTCAAGCTTATCAATAGCTTGGTATCCAAATTTCACCGCGACAATATGGTTTGCAACATTTTGAAGATCGGTTCTTTTTGGTTACTGCTATCGAAAGCTAATGTGACAGTATGAATTTTTGGGGATGTAGTTGAGAGAAAATGTGTTAATTTGTCCCTTAAGTACTAGGTCGAGCACCATTTCCTCATGGGGAATGGGGTTTATGTATACAAATAAGAAGATCTTTATGAGGAGAACTTGTACCAAAAGAAGCTGCAAATGAGTCTCATCAAAGACCTCGGTTATCTCCGGGGGCAGAATTCCCTAAGATGATATTGATCGGAGACGCCGGAAGTGGTTCATCAATACTCGATTTCTAGAAGAGACTCATTTCCGGGAAGAAATGAATATTATTTTTGTTATTTCTTGAAAGCTCTTGGCTTCTTTTCCTTCAATTTTCTTATTCATGACGTGTTTGCTTTGTTAATGATTGTGTGCAGATTTGATGAAGGATGAAATACATCTCTAGCTCTTAAGGCGGGGAATATGGCTAACAGTAACTGAAGTACACCTTTCTACTAGTTTTGAGCCTTCCGGGAGTGATGATGCTTTAAATTCTCTTCATCGACCGTAGAGTGCTTCGAAGTCGGGCCCACGGTTTTCCCGAGAACTTCAGGTTTCTCCTTCGAAGGAGGATTGCTCGTATCTGGCCAACTTGTCTGGGCATTTCATGGAGAAAGAATTGACAACTCTGGATCTATACACTCGGTGTACCTCTAGTGTTTTATCTCGGTGGAGGTGTTCGCAATCCGATGCATCAGCGGGATATGTACATGCAGGAAATACATATAGCTTCCACCTCTCTCACTGGGATAAGGGACACTTTGCACCCCCTTAATAACACTAGTTCTCGTAACGACCATGTGATACATATGGTAAGGACCATGGTAAGGAAGAACCAGACTCTAGCTTCCGCTCTGAGCAGTTTATCATCTTCTCAAGCATCTGTTTCAGCAACTCAGAGCGGATTAGAGTCAATGTACCTTGAGAATGCTTCATTGAATCAGCGTTTGACTGAATCTATAGTCGCCAACCTTAGGGAGGTTTCACAATCTTTTGGAAATGTCTTACAGGAAGTGAAGCACTTTCACCACCATCTACTTGTCTCGAGGAAGCAGATTCAGACAAATCAAATGCTTAAATATGGTGAGACCGTCTCCTTGTTAGAGTAACCATATCGGCCTTTTTGTGTATTGTATGCAGAGTACTTTGTAATCGAATAATATACGTATATAATTTTTTTAGAATGAAATGTATTTTTACCTGCATGAGGTGTATTTGTGTGATCCTGGGTGCAGAGCTATAGATTTTGTGCGAACTTTTGAGGTTTTCCCTCAAAGTTTATTGAACGTCACTAGAGTCGTTCTCGACCAAAGGTTGGTTCCCCTTCCCATGCCCAGGTAAAAACCCGATCTTGTTTGAATATCAAATGTGAAATCATGCAAAATGCATGAGTCAGAAGTCAATTACCACATACGGTGTCATTGTTTCGCACTGGAACCAGAAATGGAGTGACAATTAAAGGTAATGGCGAATATGAGCTTCCAGTGTGGTGCAGAAGGGACTGACCTCCAAGCTTGGCATTCCAACACTCAAGATAGTATGTGAGAGAGAAAAGTGAATTGAAATTGAATTTAAAACTAATTACCTAAATTGGCCGCTCTTTAATATATATATATATATATATATATATATATATATATATATATATATATATATATATATATATATATATATATATATATATATATATATATATATATATATATATATATATATATATATATATATATATAGTTGGGATGAAATAACAAACTCATTATTTGTTATGCGTGTATCCCGAAGAGCCATTGGATGCACTTGAAACCAGGATCTCTGTAATCACGAGTAGGATGGTCCTCGTGCTTGAGAAGGTTCTAAAAGGATATCTCCTACGAAGTGGTTGGTAGAGGTCAATGTGGTCGGCCCAGAATAATATTATTTTACTCAATAGTTAAAAATAAAATAAGCAAGCATTATTCCAAACTATTACATTCATCCAAAAATAAAAATAAAACAATAATATTCAATCATCATCAACCTTGTGATAAAAATTGTCAATGGAGATTCATTGAATTGCTAAGAAGTTAACTCACCCAAAAGGTTGTGGGTACAACTCCCACTGCAAATGCGAGAACCTCTATGGTGGTAATTCTACAAATACCTTTGTAAGCGCTCATTAAACCTTGAGGCGTACACTGATATTGATGAGCCCCTAGAACCAAACGTATCCAAACTTTTATAATTTAATTCCTAGTCATGATAATTATGAGCAGAATTTTCTTCTCTCAAACTTACAAATGCAATGAGAAGGTGTGATCTGATAGTTACATCATTACTATTCCAGCAATGCTTTCTCTATTCACTCGTACCATTCTAATTTATTTATTTCATGAAAATTATTTATTATATATATTTTTGTTAATTTGTACATAGGAATTCAAGTTCCTTTGTATATAGTACAGTCCACAATCCACCCATAAGAAGAAGATATACAAGAAATCACAAACAAGCATTGAGAGAAGAACATGTAAGAATAAATCCGCGGTGCACTGGTGCTTTTGTAGGGTAAGTTGCAACGCAAGCGCTTTGTTGGCGTGCAGAATAACAGTGAAATTTATTGACTTTATATTGTGGTCCAATTTTAATGTACATTACTATTGTTATTATTAATAGTTAATAAAAATGGACCACTTTTTGGTACATGTTCTTCTTCCTTTTTGTCAGCGTTAACTAATTTAATAACTTCCATGTTCCAACAATACAGATCTGGACGAAAAAAATTAAGCCCCCGGCGAGGATCGAACTCGCGACCTTTCGCTTACGAAGCGAACGCACTACCACTATGCTACGGAGGCTTGTTGATGTTTCTTGTAGTGGATTTTATATATTCTATTTTAAATTTTAATTCATTAATATTTTTTTATTTGTTTAATCCTCTGGTAATAAATTTGGTACCCATCCTAAAGTAAAACTTTGCTTAAATTAACATACTTAAAATATTTCATTATTAATTTAGTCTTTCTTTTTTTACAATGTAATATTTCTTTTAGCAGCTTCAATATACACATTTTTGCACCTACACCTTCATATTCTTGACTATAGACACTGAAGAGCAGTGTTTTTATTTGTATGGTTCATGATTTTGTTTATCAATGAATTTTTGCATGACAGTAACATGTGTTAAAATTCTAGTTTTACATTAAAAAAATTATTAAAATATGTTGTTGAACTCATTTTTATAAATTAATCGCTTTTATTTTATACACAGATGAGTTTGGATGTTGGAATTGAAGTAATAAAACTAAAAAACTGTATAGTATACAATGTTGATGTTGAATTTTGTGTTAAAAAAATCTTTCTAAAGTCCGTTTGAGTTCATTTTTCTGGAAATCAAACTATAAGTAAAAAATTTAATGCATATTATTTAAATAATGCTATGGTATGTATTAATATTATTTAATAACTATTGTTTATGTATTAATATTATTTTTCAGCACATTTTTAAACACTCCATAGGACTGGTTCATCTTTAAAAAAATATTAAATTAAATCTTAAAGTAATTGAGTTATTAAAATGCATTAACCTTTACAAAATAAACCAATTATACATATTTAATAGAATATCACAAGAATCCCTCAATTCATAGCTTCATAGTTACTTCCAAGTTCCAAGCAACAAAGAAACTCATATACTTCTGTCACATGTCATCAACAAGGCTCAAAGCATTTAAGATCAAGTTTGATCTAATTTCAAAATAATGAAAATAAAATAAGGTTTCATTCTATGACCTGATAACAGAATCGAAAGTAAAGCTTCTAACAAAATTTTCTTTCTTAGCAACGAAAGAAAGAAGCATGAATAGAAATAATAAATAGATAATAATAACTCTATGGTTTCAAACTAAAAACTACTTTTTATCACTACCTACACCTAAGGTAATCATGGTTTCTTGTTCAACAAAAAATGCAGATCAAACGGAGTCGGCACAATAGTGTTTCCGACCAACCATTTGACGATGTTAGCCTATACCAATACCACCGGTTATATTGATTGACCTTTATGATCACCTTCAGAAGATGAGGTATGTACAAATGCAAAGCAAAACAAGGTCTTCATTTTTGTTATCCTCTCAGCTCAAATTCATTTTGTTGGTTCGCTGCATTCTCCTGTTCTTGAAGTTGTAGAATCCACCACTGCACCTATGGAAATATTGGATCATGTTAGACTGCGGAAAACAGAAACCCATGTAAAGATGTAACGCAAGCGGGCAACGCGTTTGCATACCTTGATTTGTGAAATTCACAGTACTCTCAGCTGTGGCAGGTTTCAGAAATTCTGTGATGCAGTTTGGTGCGTCGTTATTTTTATCATGACTTAAAGCTTCTAAGTTAGGAATCACCACATTTATTTGGGCTTCAACTCTGGGATTTATCACATGATTTGCTCTATCATTTTTCAAGTTTTCCCCAGAGGTTGGTGTTTCAATTTTTTCAGCATTTTGATTCAAAGAAGGAGCTTCTGGTTCAACCTGCACGATAGTGATAGTCAGGTATTTATAAAAGAAACCTTAAAAGAGACCAAGCCAATAAATGGGCCGAGTACAACGATTATAAATAGTTACAAATATACAGTATTTATAACAATGCTGCCTAATGGCATGGCAGATTTTTTGACAACCGCCATAGGAAATTTGTAAAGGGATACCCGCTATGGCGGCGCCATAAGCTGCAATGGTATTGCTATTATGGAAGCTTTTGGAACTTCCACCATCGACAATACTGAAACAGGACGATATTTTAACATATAATTACATGATCCAGGTATACCAACCTCATTTGAGAATTAACAATGACATTTTATTAAGGAAAAATCATGATATATAAAACTAAACATAATTTAATCATAAAGGAAAAGAATATTTCTAGTGTACAGAACAGAAATAGCTGAAACATGTCATTCAAATTATTCCGTTGGCCTCAGTTCATAAGGGTAAAAAAAGTCAGAGGGAAACTTTAGGCAAAGTTGTAGAAATATCATAGGATTCTGCTAATAATTTACAGGAAATAGAGAGAAATTTTCAATGAGATATGTACAGTGTGTGCTACAAAACAAACTCTGGAAAGTCAATAATCCCATACACCGCATACTATTGCTATATGCATGTCAGTCTCTATAACTAAGACCAACATAAGTAAGAATACAACTTGACCTTATGGTTAACAGATGGATTGGCAGTTATTGGATTGCTTGCTGCAAGTGCAACGACAGCATCAGAACTGTGACAGAGAGATTCTGGATGTCGATTTTCCATTTGACTTTGCTTAAGCACTTTAGGGGTCTTCAATATATTTGAATGTGTACCATTTGAGATGACACCATCAATTTCACCAGCAGTCCTTTTCCTGCTTTGACAGTTAAGCATAACTCAAAATTCAAACAAACTAGATAAAAAATATATGCTTAATATTAGGCTAGCATGTAGAAACGCAACGAAAAGTGAAAATGGTATGTGGACAGGAATAAATGAGAAGACATACCTACTAAGAGCATGAGCAGATGGGTGAAGAGGGTTTTGTTTGTTTAAAAACAGAATTCCACGAAGAGGCTTTCCATCAATAACAGTTTCAATAGTATATCCTTCTGAGATGTTTTCAGTAACCTTGGCTTCAAATGATTTCTTTCCATGAGAAGGCAGCAATTGATTTACTGGGATATTTGTTCTATCTGCATTAATGACACATATTTAGCTATCCTTAATTGGTAGGTTAAGATAGAAATTGTCAAATGTTAATTCCATTCGTTTTCTCCTTGGGGTTCCTTATTTTATTCCAGGTTTGTCAATTGGGTAACGCAGAAAATAGTGGATTGTTCAAATTCCGCTATGTTATAGTCAGTTGTCAAGATCGAGAGAGAATAGCAAGATCGTAAAATATAAAATCGTAGTCTAGATCGGAAGATCCTACTCAATTATTTTTGTAAGAACGAAAGCAGGTAACAAGATCGAAAAACATAAGACTGCAACAAAAATCGTAAGATCCTACTAAATGAAAAAAATAATAGTATATATTTAAAGTATTTTTACATGATATATGTTAGTAGACAAGTGTATTCGTGAGAAAATGACTCCTTTTCATATTCTTTAGACATTTATGATTGAGGTTTTATTGAACATTTGTTAAGGTTTAGACATTAGGGACATATTTGGTCAATTACTAGGATTATCATAAGTCAAGTAGTTAAAACAAACCCTACAAGTGAGAAAATTATTCTCTAAACCCTAAATCTAAAACTTCATTTCAAAAGGCGCACATTCATCTCCACTGAACCGTAATCGTTGTGCCTCCGCATCTTGGCATCCTTCTCACCTTTTAATGGTGGTGGTCGAAAAATGGCAAATCATGGCCGAAGCTGGCAAAGATCGCACAAAATCAATGATTTTACGGGGTTTTTTCACAATTTAGCTATAACACACGATTCTACTTAAGATCCGGATTATTGGAGGTGACTAGGATCGTAAGATCTTAAGATTTTAAGATCTAGATCGAGATCTTGATAACCATATCGCCGCTATAGTCGCTACTCTAGGTTGTTAATCTCGAATAGCGATGCGTAGTGACAAACCCCCAAAATACTATAGCGGAAGTTATAAAAGTATTCAAAATGACTTAACCAAGCTCTAAAAGCAAACAAAATGAAATTTATAAATCACATTCGCATCCGCCTCATCTTCACTTCTAAGTTTCGCCACACTAATATTACCTTGTTCATCACTTGATTCAAACTTGTCCTTCCTCCTTAAACTCCGCATCTCCATCAGGCGAAGGCAGAAGAGAACGGTGAAGCAAATGAAAATAACAATGAAACTGAAGAAGCACAACATATAGGGTTATATATTAGGTCTCTAAAAGGGTGGGAAAGACCAATATACCCTTAAAAAATAAAAGTATGTTTCAAAATATTAGGGTTTATGTTTTTCGCTCAATTTGAGAATTGCGTTCAAGAAAATGCCATGGGGCTGCTATTACGCCGCTACCAAACCGCTATTCGTGGCCATTATGACCGCTACCGTCTATACGCTTTGGAGGTCACTAGTGTTGCGGTGAGGGGCCATACTGCCACACTATGCCACTATAGCGACGCTATCACGTGCTATTGACAACCTAGCACTACTTCACAAAACTTTTGTACTAAATAGTGTAAGTGTATCTCAGAGAACAATAACAATTTAATCAAATTCCACAACACAGAAGCACTATAGCGCCACTATTTGACAACACTGTTTAATTCGGCACTGACTTACCATAACTACACTCCACATCAAAGATTAATGCATACTGGTTGGAAGAACTTGTTAGACTCCACTAAATGAATACTACAAAGGGTTCCAACTGTGAACACAAATTCTTACTGCCTTAAATTCAATTATAGCCAAATGGCCCAAATCTTTATGCATAAGCCCCGTATACCTTAGAAGAACTTCCTCAATCCAATAATATACCAAGGTCAAAATTATACTTTATGATATCCATGAAACAGAAACTTTATATGTATATATGAAGGTATATTCTTACTTGGCTGGCTATAATTCAACACACTCGCGACCTGGCCAATATCAGCACCCACTCCATATCCAACCATAACCTGATTTTGGCCAGGAATGAGATTTTGTTCTTCTTGGCATTTCAGCTTCAATTGCTTCTTCATAGATAACTTCTCTAGTCTCTGATCACTTTCCCTAGCAATACCTGAAAGTCAGACATGTATCACAATTTGTTATTTAGTGATATATAGAAAAACCATAACCAAATGATTGCTTTCGAAAAATTTAATGCTAGCAAATATAAAGCACTTTGTTGAACCTGTATATAGGTAATACATGTCATCCAAGGCTTCGAGACTTTTATTACAACCGCCGATGAACACAAGAACACCACCCTTAAATGGGTCTAAACAGTCACCAGCTACAGAAAATCTAGCAGAAGGACAATTGGTTGTAGTTGTAACGTTTGTCCAAATACCAGCATCTGCAGAGTATAAGTGAAAGACCATATGAGAAAACATAGTCATTAAAAGACAGTTAATTGTGTCTCAACCATTGTCCCATGAGGGTCTAATTCATTACTAAGAAGACAAAGAGTGTACTCAAAAGGTTGGAGAAATTATACCCCCAGTAAGGTTCTACGATTTTAAATAAGTTAAACCACAATATTATAACAAAAAGAGAAATGTATTTCATAAGATATATTGAACATACCAATATCAAGAATATAAAGGTCATTGTATAGATTTTGGGCGTCTGTAAATCCACCGAAAACAAACAAATTCTTGCCAAAAGAAACTGTGGAATGACCAGCCCGAGGTGGTAACAATTGGCCTGATGTACTCAGCTCCCTCCACATTAGAGTATCTAATATTTACAGAAGTTCCAAAGAAAATCATTATATTCTGATGAATTGCCCATACTGGTGCATCATTAATATGTATAAGGATTAACTTGACAAATCATTAAAAACATTAAACAAAAGATAAAGATAAAACAGGTTGATACCAGTGTCAAGGATATGGACATCAGACAAATAATAATCATGCCCATCTTCACCCCCTACCACAATAATTTTGTTCTTCCACGATGAGCATGTGTGGCTATCACGAGGAGATGGTGGTGTGCCTGATGTTGTAGGGCGCATCCAAACAAGCGTCTCTGCAGGTGAAACAGTAAAAATGAATTATCAGAACAATCCACATCGGATACTATAATAAAAAGCAAAAGACAAATTCTGAAATACAAATGTAAACGAAAGAAGAAAATAAATGAAAAACAAACTGAAAAACTTATTATTGTGTAATGAAGTAACTAGCTTGATCAATAAATAACTGTCAGCACCATAACATGAAGAAGGAATGTTACCTGTATTCAGTATGTAAAGATCATTGTAGTAAACCTCATTGTTATTATCAGAAGATTTTCCACAACCACCAAAGATGTAAAGCCGTTTCCCAACAACAGCTGCGCTATGACCCTCGCGTGCCTCTGGTCCTTGCCCTCTTATAATCGGAGAATCCCATGTTTGCAAAGCTAAAAATAATTAAGCATCACAAAAGTTGTAAATATATAAAGACCATGTAACTACATGAAACCTTCAGGTTTATGCAAAATCAACCAAGTTCAGCTAAAATCCACACATTTTGGCTCTTAGAGGCAAAATAGATACCCTCTCTCCACTGACACAGTTTTCATTATTGGATAAATTCCATCTAAGGCCCACAAAATAGAAATTGGCCCCAAGTTTTTTAGTTTACTAGATCCCACATAAAATTTTGACATAATAGAATGTATCAAATAGTGCATTTTCTTGTTAAGGCAAGAAAAAAAACTCACAGGTGTCTAAAATATGCAAATCCTTGAGTGGATTGATTCCATCAGTACCCCCAAACACAAACAGTTTATGACCAATAACACTGCAAGTGTGACTGTCCCTAGGAGTAGGTGGGGAGCCTTTTATTTCAGGTTGGCTCCATGTCTGGTTCACTGCAAATCAAATCATCAAACACAAAAAAGTCACATTATCAACACACGCATGGATCAGAACATCAATAAACATATAAAATCAAAAAAAAAACCTAATCAATAGGAAGGAATTCAGAACAAAAACAAGGTAAGAATCTGGCATTGAAGAGTGAAGAGTGAAGTGAGAGAGAAGACACACATACCAGTGTCAAAGACATGAACTTGATTAGTTTGGCAGTTATCTTTGCCATAACCACCAAAGACATAGATGTGTCTACCACCATTAATGGAGTTACAGGTGTGACCCCACCTTTTGCCTGGCCCAGACACGACTTCTCCACCTTCACCCTCTTTTCCTATCGCCTTAACCTCAATCTTTTCCCACCTCATTTTCTCAACAATGAATTTGATGAAGAAATTGAAAAATCAAATAAAAATTTAAAAATAAATAAACTTTTTTTATAGTTATTAATTATAATTTGGAAAATGGTGGGGACGAGGGTGAAAATGAAATCGAGAGAAAAGAAAGAAAGGGCATGCAGAGATTGGAAAAAAATTAAAAAGTGTTAAATCACAGCGAGAGTGAAACTGATAGAGAAAAACCAGTAAAAAATAATATAAATAAATATAAATCCAACGGTGAATCTTTCTTTCAGGTAGCACGTGGTGAATTTAACGTGCTTTGATCGCCAAATAATAGTGGAAAACGTGGCATGTGGTTACTCGTTGGATTTCATCATTTTATTATATTGCCTTTTGATTTATTTTATTTTGACATTCTATTTAGGGCAGATATATAATACTATATTCCTCTAATAAAACTATTATTATTTTTACTTTTTTTTTAGTTTATCTCTTTAAATTTCTCTAAATAGAATGTCTATCAAATAAAATTGATGTTGTCACTATTAGTAAGTTATAGTTAAATATACTTTCTATAAGTTTTATAAAAATTAAACTTTGACGAAATTGAAAGTACTATATAAGGTCTCTACAAGTTTAAGCCGACTTTAATTGTATAAGAAAGTTTTACGTTTGGAACCGAAAGTGTTTATTTCTTTTCTTTAGTATATGTTGCACCAAACATAAATATGTTTTTAAGATATGAATGTTTTTATTTCTTCTATGATTCTCTCTCAAATTTATGATCGTTCTGACTTAAGTCATCTTTTGATTCTTTTATAACACAATTCATTTTTTATTTCTAGTAGATTGTTCTTTGAGAGCTTTAGTGTGTCATTTTTTATAAGCTAAAGTAAAACTAAAGAGAAAAGAAAAGAAAAAATTTAAGGGATGATGTGTGCATGGGTTCCAAGTTCCCAACTATTTATAATATTCAAATATGGTATTTTTTTAACATTTCATTTAATTTGGTAATATTTTCGAACTTTTATTCTCAATTTGAGTCCAACAAAAGTGTTTATTTCTCTTAATTATTATGTTGTGTCAAACATAAATGCATTCTTGATATATATGTATTTTCTTTCCTTTTATCTTGAGATCATAGTTGTCTTTACTTAAGATGTCTTCCCTCACACAAATAAATTTTTTTGTTTCTATTAGATTACTTTGTGTCAGTTTTTTCATAAGCATCACTTGGAAATCAATAAATATACTCATATAATCTAAAATAATAGATGGGGATTAAGGTTGGTGGCTAATACTCATATCGGAGCATTCATCGTTGTGCACACAATTGTGGAAGTTGGGGTGGAAGACGCATAAATTAAAGAAGCAAATGAAATTCTTCTCACAACGTACTTCGCAAAATCTCTGCAGTATAAATTGCATAATCAAATCGAAAGCAGAAATAATGGTTGAAGAAATTCAACTAAAGGTCTATCTGAGGAAAGATAGCTACACGAGCTCATGAGGAAGCAAACAATACAAATCTTGTTTTCATTTTGGATAACAACAAAACCGCATTGTTCTCTTAACTCAAAATGGGAGCAGTTTGAAAAAGGATCTTAGAGTGTCCTTTAGTATCTTCTTTTTTTCTCATCGAAGCTATTTCATAAAGACTTGTCAGAGTAAGGAATAAGAGGAAACAAGCACAATTTGAGAGTGTAATACAATTAATAGTTGTATGCTAAGTTCAGGGAATGGTTAATTGCTCATGAAAAATAATGTATTGATTATCTCTCAATTGCATTGGCAATAGGTGCAATGATTTACTTCCAAGATGAGGTATCTTGTTCAAGTCCAAGATGACTCAATTGCACCATGGAAAAGAATAAAAGACGAATTTTAGTCTTACATACATGCTCCAACTTGGAAATAACTCAGTTTACAGAAATAACCTTCGATAAACCCAGCAATATGTAGTGTTCAATCCTCGTTGTGAAATAACTTGTATGTTGGGTCATGTTTTGACTTTTTTTATTGATAAAATCATGTTCCATTTCAAAAGAAAATACTAAAAATTTAAGGACATAAAACTTATAATAATAATAATAATAATAATAATAATAATAATAATAATAATAATAATAATAATAATAAAGGGTGTTCATGGGTGTAGGTTAACCCGCGAGCGCACTGATCCAAATTGAATCAATCCATAAATTATTCGAACCCATTGATTTACGGGTATATCCAACTCAACCCGTAACAACCCGTATAGTTTTGGTTCGGGTATAGGTTTGAGTTTTGTAACCCGTAGACTCGTTGACTCAATCCATAAATTAGTAATTTCTTATTATTTATATTATTATTTTAATATATATATATATATATATATATATATATATATATATATATATATATATATATATATATATATATATATATATATATATATATATATATATATATATATATATATATATATATATATATATATATATATATATATATATATATATATATATATATATAACATCTCACTTATAACCATAATTTTTCTAAAAACAAACTTATTCTCCACCAATAATAGTACTAGATCAATGATTTTATGTAATGTTAAGATTAAATATTATTTTTTATTTTCTTTTGTATCATTTATTTTATGAAAATAATGTATCATTTATTATCTCAGATATATCTTCATTGATGTGCATCTTCATCATATTGTATGTGCTAGAAACAAAAAGTGGATATTTACCTAGAACATTAGATTTTTGATAATTGCATTAGTTGGGTTAAATAAAAGCGATAATAATGTTTAAGGAAAATACCAAATAAATAACAACTTTATTCTATGACCTTGGCATTTTGCAAAACAATAATTGTTGGCGACAAATCCTTTCTCTTTTGATTGTAATTGATTAATTGCAACATGCATCCCTCCCCAAGTGTGCAATTCAAAGTGTTGTTGCTATATTTTGATAACTAAATCAAATATCAAAATAGTTTAGAGTGAAAATATCTAAAATAAAATAAATGCAAATAGTTCCTAGTTGTAAGACAAATACCTCAGATCCTTCAAGGCCAGGTTGACATACTATTTTTTACTTTCACTCTGGAGTTGGGTGTAGCTTATTTCGCCAATCATTCCTACTAAATTTTTTAAAATAACAAATAAGGTTATAAGAATAGTCGATGAAATATGGTCAGAGGTAGCCTTGAGCATATATACATATATATATATATATATATATATATATATATATATATATATATATATATATATATATATATATATATATATATATATATATATATATCAAAGATTGTATTTAGCGGAAGCAGGATCGGAATAGTTTATATAAAAGAGGAGTATAGAAAGTGAATGATAGAGACAATGTTATAAGAAACTTCAAAGTTGTTATTCAAAGGTGTTCCAAGGTGTAATTACAAATGAAACTTAAATCCCTTTATATAGGGAAAAAAAGGCTTACTATTTAAGCCGGTAACTAAAACTTACAATAGCCGGTAACTTGTATAATTATTGTCGGGTACACTTGGGGCCCCATCGTCACAACAATTAACGAGAAACTACAAAAATCACATGCATGCCTAGAAATTATTAAAGACAAGATAAGATTATTTTTCCCTTGTCTTTTACAAAAGATAGAAAATGCATGTAATTATGCCTAGAAATTATTAAAGACAAGATAAGATAAGATTCTTATCACCTTGTCTTTTACAAAAGATAGAAAATGCATGCAATTATGCCTAGAAATTATTAAAGACAAGATAAGATTCCCTTGTCCTTTTGCTTTTGGAAAGATTCTTCTTCTATTATTTCTTGTCCTTTAACCTTTGTCTATTGATTCTTACTTCATTATATTTAGACAAGATAACAAATTAATTCTTTGCTTTTCTTTTTTCTTTCAAAGATTGAATCATTGCATCCCAGAAATCTTCTGCAGTAGCTTCATCTGCTTGACCTTCTCCTGCTAAACCTTCAAAATTATGGGAATCCATTGATCCCATGGAAGAACTTGTCTTCATAGATGAATTCTCATCTTTTGATGCTTTTGATGGAAAAGTAGAGAAGAATTGGTTCTTCATATGATCCAAAATTCTGACCATAATTTCGTCTTCTGATTCATTAGGATATTTTCTCTTGAAGAAGTTCTTCAAGTTTTCCATAGACATTTGTTGGGAGCTTTGTTCCTTGACCTTTTTATTCTGGTCTTCAGGTATTGCTTCTTCAATTAATTTAATTTTATTCTGGACATCCTCTGAACTCATCTTGTTCCACCAATTATAAAAGAAATTTGTTTCTAAAATGGGAATGTTAAATTTGTTTCTTGATATGGTGATTGTCCATCTCCATATCCATGGAATCTGAAATTTAATAAAGAACAATAATAGACATTGTCCAGTGATTAAATTATCAGATAAAATTTTTACAATAAGTGGACTATTATTACACCATGGATTATATAAGTTAAGAATTTCTTTAGGAAGAATTTCCAAAGATGGACCAAATTTAGCCCACCATTCATAAAACCAATTTGGTATGGGTTTATTAATCATCTCTTCATTAATAGAGAAAAAAGAATGCTTATTCTTGGGGTTTTGGTAATAAAAGGCTTGAGTGAAAGCCTGGACATAGTCCCAATAATTAAAGTAAATATACTTTCCTTCCGTAATTCTTATTGCCTTTTCAGCATTTGGGTTGAGACCCCATTCTCTTGGTAACAAAATTTTGTTAACGTGACATTTACTGAAGTTTATAAAACTTTCAGGATTATTGTTTTGGTAATGGTGAGTAATTGTTACCGATTCGGTAACAGTCAGGAGAATTTCTAGGTTGGGCCTAGATTTTCCATGAAGACCTGGATATCCTCTTGATTCGAGGTATCTAGTTTTGATAGACCATCCATCATTTGGATTTATCTTTATATCTTCATCATCAATATATATGATTTTCTCAGTTACTGGATTTTCAAAATAATCCATTTGTTCTTGAGGTGGGTTATTAACCGCAACTTCCTTGT